TATTTCTTATATTGAACATAGCAGGTGCTTTCACATCATACCAATCTTTCTTAGAAAATGGATCAACCACTTTCTTCTTGGCTCCCTTTTTGCCGCCTTTCGTAAGGCGCTTGTTCTTGCCAACCGCCATGGTGCTGATCAGAGAGCCGAAAGAGGAAAACTTTTAAAACCTTACTGAGGACTTCCTTACCCTCACTAACTACCTAAATAATTTCTTCTTAACTCTTATATCAATAGCTTAATGCAGCCTTGAACTCCTGGGCTCAAGCAACCTACCTACCTCAGCTTCCCAAGTAGTTGGGACTACAGGCATGCACCACCATGCCCGGCTAAATTTTTTTTTTTTTATAAATGGGGTCTAGCTATCTTGCCCAGGCTGGGCTTCCTGTAGTTTCTGATCTCTGGATAACACACCTCTCCCATTTTTGCTCTCCCAGTCCTTCCACCAGCTTTATAACTTAACTCCCTGCATTCAAGCAATATCTGAGATGATTTCTGCTTTTTTCTACTGAACACTTACTGATAAACCCTTTTTCCATTTCTTTTCCTTTGTAGATTTGTGTAAATACCCAAGGTTTTATTATTCAGGTGCCTGTCCTTTCTCCTTTTTGCTGAGTTGTTCAATGTGACCTTTCTGATTTTATTTTATTATAATTATTATTTTTTTTTTTGAGACGGAGTCTCACTCTGTCACCCAGGCTGGCGTGCAGTAGTGTGACGTCGGCTCACTGCAACCTCTGCCTCTCGGGTTTAGGGGATTCTCATATCTCGGCCTCCCAAGTAGCTGGGACTACAAGCACCAGCCACCATGCCCAGCTAATTTTTTGTATTTTTAGTAGAGACGGGGTTTTGCCATGTTGACCAGGCTGGTATCAAACTCCTGACCTCAGGTGATCCCCCTGCCTTGGCCTCCCAAAGTGCTGGCATTACAGGCATGAGCCACTGCACCCGGCCCTTTCTGGTTTTAATTTTTTGGTTATCATCATTTCTTCCCATCACACTCTCAACATTGAGGTGACAGTCGACGCTTGCCTTTCATTGCGCTCCTCTGCTCTTAGATCCCTGCTACGTTAAACTACAAAGCAGCTAAAGCACTGGACAACCCAATGCCTTCCTTTGGAACACTGCCACCTGGGAGCATCGCTGAACGTTTTGTACCACTGGGTCATTAGAAACAAGATCTGGAGGTCGCATGTGGTGGCTCTTGCCTGTAATCCCAGCACTTTGGAAGGCTGAGGCCAGCGTATCACTTGAGGTCAGGAGTTCAAGACCAGTCTGGCAAAACCCTATCTCTACAAAAATACAAAACATTAGCCGAGCGTAGTGGCGCACACCTGTAATCCCAGCTCCTCGGGAGGCTGAGACAGGAGAATCACTTGAACTCAGGAGGCGGAGGTTGCAGTGAACCAAGACCATGCCATTGCACTCCAGCCTGGGTGACAGAGGGAGACTTCATTTTAAAAAAAAAGAAAAAAGAAAAAACAAGATCTGCCACAGCGGTGCTCTGCCCCTGTTGAAGGGAACTATGCATAACTAATGAACAGGAAGATAAGTAGCAAAATGCCTGATCCTTCTCAACACGCTTCTAATAACTTCTAAGTTTCCCAGTCCAGATTTCTTTATCTATCTTCTTTCCTTCCTAAATGGTTACTCCAAACCTTCAGACCTAGACATTTTTTAGTCTATAATTGCTCTTCCTTTCCTCCCCATCAGATGGTACTTTTCCCTGCCGAGGATTTACCCAGCTTCTCGGTCACACTGACACACTTGTTTTTTGTTTTTTGTTTTTTCCAGATAGGATCTCGCTCTGTCACCCAGGCTGGGGTACAGTGGCTTGATCTCAGCTCACTGCAACCTCTGCCTCCTGGGTTCAAGCAAGTCTCCTGCCCCAGCCTCATGAGTAGCTGGGATTACAGATGTATTACCACCATACCTGGCTAATTTTTGTATTTTTCATAGAGACGGGGTTTCATGACGTTGCCCAGGCTGATTTCAAACACATGGACTCAAGCAATCCATCTGCCTCGGCCTCTCAAAGTGCTGGGATTACAGGCGTCAGCCACTGCGCCTGACCCAGTGTACACATTTGAAATAAGAGCTGGCTTGTTCTCTAGTTGTGGATGCTGAGACGTCAGAGGTACCCAACAGTCCAGCAGATTTAAGACGGGTCTCTATCTTGTAGCATTGCAAATACCACATGGGATAGATACCAGATCTCTGTTTCAAAGCTGAGGTAAATAATGTTCAGAAGAGTTTACTACTTGTCCAAAGTCACAGAGAGGGTAGGAGGCAGAGCCAGGTCCTGAACCCAGGTCTTTCTGTTGCCACAGCTCCTGCCAAACACTGCAATCAACCGAGGAAAACATAAACGAAAGCACTGGATCTTAAATTCCAACAAAACACTGTCGCTCCCCTGTCAACCTGCTGGACTTCTTGGATAAACATTTCATTTGGGCATTTTTCAGCAACTCTAGAAGGTGTATCAGGAGAACTTCCAGTTCAGAAGGGCCTTCCAGAGTTAGCATCTCCTGAACCATTCACGCATGTGGAATACAATTACACCAACAAGGAGGGCGGTGTGGCAGGCAACACAGGGCATAGAAGCCAGGAAACAGAGTAGGGAGATCATTCGTTTCACCTTTATACACCTATGTTACATCTGCTACAACGAGCTGGATTCTTTTATAACGGAAAGCGTCTAATAACAAAATTAGGAGCTCATGGCAAAGATAGTATTATACGTGCACCAAATCCCATTTTATTGTCTTCTTCCTATGTACACAAGAAGACTATAATTCCCAGCCTATTTTGCCCTTAGATTGGGCCACCATAACTGGATTCTGACCAAAGGGACATGGGCAGAAGGGATGTATACCACTTTCAAGCCTGCCCATAAAATCTCCCATGTCATTATCCATCCTCTCTTTTCCTCTTCCGTGGCAAATTGTTTTTTGAGAGAGGTTCTCATTCTGTCACCCAGGCTGGAGTGCAGTGGTGTGATCACAGTTCAGTGTAGCCTTGATTTCCTGGGCTCGAGTGATCCTCCCACATCAGACTTGCAAGTAGCTAGGACCACAAGTGTGCACCACCATGTCTGGCTAATATTGTTTGTAGATATAGGCTCTTGCTAGGTTGCCCAGGCTAGTCTCAAACTGCTGGACTCAAGTGATCCTCCCACCTTGGCTTCTCAAAGTGCTGGGAGTACAGGCATCATAAGCCACCACACTTGGTCTGTGGCAGGTTCTTGAGGGCACATGATGGAGATGACACCATCACAAGAGGGATGGAGCCTAGATTCCTGAACCAATTATTGGAGGAAAGCCACCACAGAAAGCCACTTGACCTACATCAAACAATAACCTGTTGTATTGATATAAGAGTTAAAAAGAAATTATTTAGACAGATAGTGAGGGTAAGAAAGTCCTCGGTAAGGTTTCCAGCCCCCAAATCATTTCTTTTCTAACAAAAAGCAGCCTGTAAATTCAAGCTGCAGACATAGACAAGCAAGCTGGAAGTTTGCACGGGTGAATGCCGGCAGCTGTGCCAATAGAAAAAGGGGCTGGGCATGTTCAATATGGAGGCTCCCTCTTCCCTTTTCTTTATCAACCATGTGCATAGTAAGGAGCAAACAACATGGCGCCAGCCAGGTAGCAAACCGTTTGCATAATAAAAGATTAGGATGGAGTGGCCACTTTCTTCCCAGGCTATGTAAACATCACACCTGGTCCAACCAATCTTTGGGCCCTATGTAAATCAGACGCCGCCTCTTCAAGCCAGTCTATAACCCCACCCTACCCCCACCCCCACAATTCACCACAGACCGGAAGACCCACGCGGGAGCCCCTCTCTCTCTGCAGGAGAGAGAGCTTTTCTCTTTCTCTCTATTAAATCTCTCTCACACTTAAGCCTCTGCTTTTAAACTCGCTTCTTGTGTGCCCACATCATCAATTTCCTTAGCATGAGATGGCAAACCTCCAGTGTTTACCCCTGACAACAACGCTGCTTCACTAGGAAGTCATTGAAAATAAAAAGTTTCTTTGTTACCGTAGCAAAACCTTACCTATCCTGACTAATTTGGATTTCATATATGCCAGGGGATTCCAATATCCCACAGAAGTCCTGAGAGGGCCTCGTGGTTGCCTCACTCATGGAAACAGCCTTTTGGTGTTTTTAGGACCTGGATTTATTTCAGATTCTAAGTTCATATGAGGATATATTTCTGAGTAGAGTTCCGTTTCCGTCTTCTCCCACTGAATTACCTTATCATTCTCACTTTGTTGTGGTGTGCTTGTTCCAAAGAGAAATAAATCAACAACTTCATCACAAAGCACATAGCACACGTACTTTACATTCTCACTGAAACAAGACCTGAAAAAGGAGGAAATTTTATTACAGTTTTATTCCCCCTCAGGGACCGTTCTGAATTTTACCATTCTAATATTTACTTCTTGTTATGGTAAAACCTTGAGTAAACCATCAGGGACTGAGTTGTTTTAGGCAAGTGTTTCGCATAACTAGAGTTTATGCATTTAGGCATTAAAATGCTGTTGACTCTCACACGTTTGGAAGGAAATATTAAATATGAAATAGGAAGCATAGTGAATGAACTGGGGTGACATATTTTGCCTTTTCATGGCGATTCAGGATTCACCTGAGTTCCTTAAATGTGCTATGCTTCCTGCAGAGGCTCGAGCCATCATCTCTGCCTGGAGCAGTTTTTTCCTTCCTTTGTCTCATTAAATCATTCCTATCCTTTGCTTGTCAACTCACAGAGCAGTTCCCTCAGGCACAACTGTATACATTTACTAAAATTCATCTAACTCTTCACCTAAAACAGGTGAATTTTGTGGCATGTAAACTATACTTCAATAATGCTGTTAAAAACAAAACACACACACTATCCAGGAGGTGATGCATGAACATAACCCCTGCTCTTCTTTAAAATAAAAAAAAAAAAAATTTTTTTTTGAGACAGGGTCTCCCTCTGTCATCCAGGCTGGAGTATGCAGTGGCATGATTTCTGCTCACTGCAGTCTCAACATCCAGGGCTCAAACGACCCTCCTGCCTCCACCTCCCAAGTAGATGGGACCACAGGCATGTGTCAACATGCTGAGCTAATTTTCTTTTTCAGAG